CATCCTTGCATCCCTGGAATGAATCCCACTTCGTCATGGTGTATGATCTTTTTAATGTATTGTTGGATGCGGTTTGCCAGTATTTTGTTGAGGATTTTAGCGTCAATGTTCATCAGTGATATTGGCCTGAAGTTTTTTTTCTTTGTTGTTTCTTTATCTGGTTTTGGAATTAGGATGATGTTGGTCTCATAAAAAGAGTTTGGGAGACTCCCATCTTTTTGGATTTTTTTGGAATAGTCTGTGAAGGATAGGGGTTAGCTCTTCCTTAAATGCTTTGTAGAATTCTCCTGTGAAACCATCTGGTCCAGGGCTTTTGTGTGTTGGGAGTTTTTTTGATTACTGCTTCAATTTCTTTTTGTTGTTATTGGTCTGTTCAGGCTTTCTGCTTCTTTTTTCATTGAGTTTTGGAAGATTATATTTTTCTAGAAAGTTGTCCATTTCATCTAGGTTTTCAAATTTCTTGGCATACAGTTCTTTGTAGTAATTTCTTACAATCCTTTGTATTTCTGTGGTATCTGTTGTAATCTCTCCTCTTTCATTTCTGATTGTGTTTATTTGCGTCTTCTCTCTTTTCTTCTTGATGAGTCTGCTTAAAGGCTTGTCGATTTTGTTTATCTTTTCAAAGAACCAGCTCTTGGATTCAGTGATCCTTAGAATTGTGCTTTTAGTCTCTATGTCATTTAATTGTGCTCTGATCTAGGTTATTTCCTTCCTTCTGCTTGCTCTGGGCTGCCTTTGTTGTTGTTCCTCCAGTTCTTGTAGACGTAGGGTTAGGTTGTTTGTTTGGAATGTTTCTAACTTTTTTTAGGTGGGCCTGTATCACTAAGAACTTCCCTCTCAGGACTGCCTTGGATGTGTCCCATAAGTTTTGGGTTGTGAGTTCGTTTTCATTTGTTCCCAGAAACCTTTTGATTTCTTCCCTAATATCCTTCTTGACCCATTCATTGTTTAATAGCATGCTATTTAATCTCCATGATTTTGAGTGTTTTGGGTTTTTCCCTTGGGGTTGGTTTCTAGCTTCAGTCCCTTGTGGTCTGAGAAAATGCTTGGTATGATTTCAATTTTCTTGAAATTCTTGAGGCTTGTTTTGTGTCCTATCATGTGGTCTATCTTTGAAAATGTTCCGTGTACATTTGAAAAGTATGTATATTTAGCTTCTTTTGGATGGAGGGCTCTGTATATATCAGTAAAGTCCATTTCATCAAGGGTATTGTTCAATGCCACAATATCTTTGTTCATATTTTGTTTGGAAGATCTGTCCATTTTTGATAGTGGGGTGTTAAAATCTCCCAATATTATTGTGTTGCTGTTCATATCTTTTTTTGAAGTCCTCTAAGATTTTCTTTATGTATTTGGGTGCTCCTATGTTGGGTGCATATATATTTACTATATTTATGTCTTCTTGGTGGATTCTTCCCTTGAGTATTATGAACTGACCTTCTGGGTCTCTCTTTATGGACCTTTTTTGGAAGTCTATTTTGTCTGATATGAGTATTGCTACCCCGGCTTCTTTTTCCCTGTCCATTTGCTTGGAAGATTTGTTTCCAGCCCTTCACTTTCAGCCTGTGTAGGTCTTTTATCCTGAGGTGGGTTTCTTGTAGACAGCAGATATGTGGGTCATTTTTTCTTATCCATTCAGCTATTCTATGTCTTTTGATTGGAGCATTTAATCCATTTACGTTTAAGGTTATTATTGATAGGTCCTTATTCATTGTCTTTTATGTACGTGTGTTCCTCTCTCTCTCTCTCTCTTTTCCTTCCCTTCCTTAAAGCAGTCCCTTTAGAAACTCTTGCAGAGCTGGTTTGGTCGAGGTGTATTCTTTTAGACTTCTTTTGTCTGAGAAGCTTCTTATTTGGCCTTCTATCTTGATTGAGAGCCTTGCTGGATATAGTAGCCTTGGTTGCAGACCTCTGGTTCTCATTACCTGGAGTATTTCTTCCCATTCTCTTCTGGCTTAAAGTGTTTCCATTGAGAAGTCAGCTGTTAGCCTTATTGGGGCTCCCTTGTATGTTACTTCCTGTTTCTCCCTTGCTGCCTTTAAGATTCTCTCTTTGTTAAATTTTGCCATTTAATTTGCCTATTAAACTTTGCCATTTTAATTATGATGTGTCTTGAGGTGGGCCTCTTTGGGTTCCTCTTGATTGGGCCTCTGTGTTTCCTGCATTTGTGTGACTTTTTCTCTCATCAAATTAGGGAAGTTCTCCTTCATTACTCATTCATTTAGGTTTTCAATCCCTTGCTCTTCTTCTTCTCCTTCTGGTATCCCTATTATACAGATATTATTACGTTTCATATTGTCTTGCATTTCTCTTAATCCCTCTTCATTCTTTCTGAGCCTCTTTTCCTTTTCTTGCTCTTTCTGGATGTTGTTTTCTACTTTGTCCTCCAGCTCGCTAATCCGACCATCTGCTTCATCGGTTCTGCTTTTCATTCCTTGTACTGTGTTCTTCAGTTCAGAAATTGTATTCTTCATTTCCTCTTGACCTTTGTTGAGAGTTTCTATTTCCTTTTTTCATGTTTATATAGTTTGCAGTGAGATTGATGTAGTTTCCCTCTAATTTCTGATAACTCATTGTGAGTTCCTTGAACTTCCTGATAATCATTGTTTTGAACTCACTATCTGATAGTTGAGTTGCCTCTCTTTCATTTAGCATTTTTCCTGAGGCTTCCTCGTTTCCCTTCAATTGGGGGGTTGTTTCTTTGTTTTCTCATTGTTCATGGGTTTCTTCTTGTTTCTTAAATTGATCTGTTCTGATTCCCTGTAATTATGGTGTGAACTTCTGTGGTAGAATATTTGTGAGATTCAGTTGTGCAATCTCCTTCGTGTATCCTGGTGTTCACAGCTTTCCCCTACTCTTTTTTTGTGATCAGTTGGAGGAGTAAGGCAAAATGGTTTAAAACAGCAAGACAATGTACTATGATATTTACATTAGCAGCCAGTAGAGAAGAGATGGGTTATCCTTTGGCTCCTTATAGTGTTAACCGTGATCCTCCACCCCACTATCCACATTTTAGAAAGGATGGAAAGAGGGTAAGACTCTTATTGGGGATGAGAGAATTGTTAGTTGGATCTAGAAAGCTGTGAGGCTGTGGGAGGTCAGATTCTAAGGTAGGGTTGGATTAAAGATTAGTATATAGGAGTAGTGTGTAAAAGAATAGAGACAACCCCCACAATAGTACAGTTCAGAAAATTGCAAAGTGGGCTGAGATCAGGTAGGGATATTGAGTAGTATCTATAATTGTATGTACTACGTCTTATTGATAGTAATAGTAAAGTGACAGTTTCTGGCAGGATCAATGAGATCTAGATAACTAGAATAAAGAGTATAGAACCTTGAGAGGTGTATTAATGGAACACAGATGAAGGATAGCAAATTATCAACACATTGTGACTGAGACACCAGGGGGAACCTATCAAATGACAGTATAACCAGCCAAGCAAAGAAGATTATACAGAAAGAAAAAGGATACCAAAATATTATTAAAATAAAAAATGTCGGAAAAGTGAGAAAAAGATAATACAAATTTACAGTAACTTGCAAGATTAAAAAAAAGGAAAGAAAAGCAGAAGATGGAGTGCAGGAGAGATAAATTTGGAGTGGAAAGAATAATATTAGGATGAATGAAAGAGAAACATAAGGGATTGCGAGGTATAAAAATAAGAATTGAAAAATGAAAGGTCACATAAAACACAAGATAAAATCAATCGACCAACAACAGCCATAAAAACAAAACAAAACAAAACAAAAAAAACCTGTTGTTGGTTTCTAACTGTCCAGACCAGTTTTTCTGATCTTGCTGGCTTCAGCTGGCTGAGGGACCTTTGAAATGCTTCTCTCTCTTCCCAGCCAGATCTCAGCCAGTCTGTCAGGTACCCTGGGCGCTCCCGAGAACACTCGCCGTCCGGAGCTCACTGCCAGGTTCTTCTGGACTCCAGGGTCCTGCAGGGTTCCAGCTCTATGATCTCAGGAGGCACCCAAGATGTTTTGGGATTCACTGCACCATCCCCGGGAATCGTAAAAGGGCACGCCCCTCCACCAAACTTTTGAGATTCGGGCTCTAGCATCGCCCTAAGTGCCGCGCCGCGACCCTTCCGGATTCACAGCACGAGAGTCAGGCTTCCCGATGGGGCGCGAGCCCAGCCCTTCCGGGCTCTGTGTTTTCCACCGAGCGGCACTCCCACTGGGCTAGGGGTGCGGGGGCACTTCCTGGCCGCCCCTGGTCATGTCAGCTGGAGGCCCTCACTTCTCCCAGATCTCTGGGCGGGTGTTCATAGTCCCTGGGAGATTTTTTCCCAGTCCAACTGGCCAATCTGTTCCTTCAAGCAACACATTCTCCCCTGGAGTTGCTCAACCCCCCATATTCGGGGAGGGAGCAGCGACTCCCCTCTCCCGGGAGCCCTGAGGCAGACCCGGGAGCACCGGGCCTGGGTACTGCACACCCCTAGACCCCGAGCTGATCCCTGGGTCCCTTTTGTCCTGAAGCAGTCTCCTTACCTTCTGGTTTTTCAGTGACTGCAATAATTTTGGATGTTCTGCTTTCAAAAGTGATTCGGTAACCTAGTCCACTTGCTCTGTCTCTCCACCGATCCGTGAGTTTCCCTCCTCTTCACAGAAGCTGAGAAACACGCTGCCTAGAGTAAATCCGCCATCCTCCCCGAGTCCAAAATGAATAAAATGTTTAAAAAAAAATAAATGAAACGGTTCTAAAAATAAATTCCATTAAAAATAGTTGAAATTGGCCCACATTTCTATATCCTTAGGTTTGTTGAATTCCTGGTTCCGTCCCATGAATTCAAAGTCAGATTACACCATAAAGTTCTCTTCACACTCGCTCAATCTCATCGACCTTGTGACCACCTCTTAGTTACAATATCTGCGTCTCTTTATCAGCAGGCAACTCTCCAACAAACCTGGGGAGATTCATGATTATTTTATCTTTACTATAAGAGGTGATCTCTCAGCAGCTGCCACAGATTCTCACAGTGGCTGCAGCTGGAACTTTTAACACCAGGTTCAAAGAGCTCACCGTAATGTCAGATGGGTACATGTGGTTTGAAGGGCTACCTTTCCATGTCGTGGGTTACACAATGGAGCACCTGAGAGCAATGCAGAATTTTGTGTTTAAGGACAAAGATGGCTTAATACTGTCTTTCCTCAAATCAGGTAAGGGAGCGGATTAGATGCCAAGACAGACCGTGGTTGCATCCTTCATCTGTTCACGAGTATTTTCTCTTTGTCAGCCCAGATTCAGGGCTCTGGGGACAAAAGCTGGGCCCTGGTACCAACCGCAGTCAGAGAAACAGAGTTAGCCAGGCAGTTACACAGTAAGAGGAGTGTCCAGAGCGGATAATGGAAGGTGGTAGAGAACCCATATGAGCAAATTCTGAGACAGATTTGGGAGCTTGAAGCAGAAGGTGATGACCAGAGTCCTCCAAAGTCCTTACAGGAGAAATAGGAAAGGAAGGAATTATGTGAGATGATGGGTCTGTTAATTAGCTTGACTGTGGTAATCATTTCACAATGTGTACACACACATACACACACACACACACACACACACACACACACCAAATCATCACATTGTACTCTTTAACTGTGTACCATTTTCATTGGTCAGGTATATCTGAGTGAACCTGGGAGGAAGGGGTGAAAAAACACATCTACCAGAGACAAAAAATAAGGAGTAGATTTAAAAAAGCATCTAAATCGACATGGAAATAACTGAATATGAAACTATTTCGTGGAAAGGGGTATTTTCAGTAAAGGCATCAGCATGGACAATGGGCAGGAACTGGAAAAGAGCCTGGCCACTTTGAGGGACTGAAAGGGTGTGGATCGTGTCTCTAGGAGCAGGATAGCCAGCAGACAAAACTACAAGATGGGCAAGGACTGAGGCTGGAGACACTGGAAGAGGCGTAGTAGTGAAAAGTCAAGGGTGATGGATTTAGGCAAATAGCCCAAAGGTGGAAGCAACCTAATGTCCACTGGCAGGTGAATGGATGACCAACATGTGGTCTATACACACAATGGAATATTCTTCATCCTGGAAATGGAACAAAGTTCTGACACAGGCTACAACTTGGGTAGACTCTGAGGACATTATGCTAAGTGAAATACACCAGTGACAGAAGGAGAAAGACCATCTGATCTACTTCCATGAGCTGTGGAGAGTAATTGAACTCTAAAAGAGAAAGAGGGTGGGGGGGGGGTGCCAAGAACTGGGGGGAAGGGAAAATGGAGAGTTGTTGTTTAATGGGCACAGAGTTTCAGTCTTGCCAAATATAAAGTTTCTGGAGATTGGTTGCGTACCAGTGTGAATATGCTTAATGCCACTGGACTGTGCTCAAAAACAGTTAGGGAGCATGGTTTATGTGACAGTCTATCATGGTATTTTTTAAAATTCAGATTCGCTCTGGCTGCTGTGGCTGAGCAGATTGAGCATGGGCTGTGAACCAAAGGGTCACCGGTCGATTCCTAGTCAGGACCTATGCCTGGGTTGTGGTCCAGGTCCCCAGTAGGGGGTGTGCAAGAGGCAACCATGCATTGATGTTTCTCTCCCTCTCTTTCTCTCTCCCTTCCCCTCTCTCTAAAAATAAATCAATAAATTCTTTAATAAAATAAAATAAAAGTCAGATTCCAAAAATGAGTGCCCATCCTTGTTTTCTTCTTTATCCAGGAACAAACTGGTTGATTGAAATTCTCTGCCTGATTCACTCCAAGGGGGATCCCACGTGGATCCAATCTGTGCCCATATGGGAACGCTCTCCCTGGGTAGAGACTACGAGTGGATACGAAGTCCTGAAGGGCAGGGAAGGCCCACGCCTCATCTCCTCCCACCTCCCCATCCAACTCTTCCCCAAGTCTCTCTTCCAGTCCAAGACCAAGGTCAGTGCACAGTGGTCAACGTGTGTTTGATTAATGCTTTTCTAATGTGAACGTGCCTAGGAATCACCTAGGGATCTGGATGAGGTGCAATCTCATCCAGTAGGTCTGGGGTGGGAAGGGGGAGGACCTGAGATTCTGCATTGGGTGATGCCACAGTCCAAACCAGAAGCAAAGCAAAACGGTAATGCCAGAGCCTGAGAAAACGACGTTTTCAACCCAAGTGGAATTTATAACAGTGTTACATACTAGATAACCTGCCTCTTGTTGCTGTAAAAATTAATTAGCCCATCTCGCCCTGGCTGGTGTGGCTCAGTGAATTGAGCACAGGCCTGCCAACCAAAGGGTTGCTGGTTGAATTCCCAGTGAGGGCACACGCATGGATGGTGGGCCAGGTACCCAGCAGGGGGCGTAGGAGAGGCAACCACATATGGGTGTTTCTCTCCCTCTCTTTCTCCCTCCTTTCCCCTCTGTCTAAAAACATATAAATAAAATCTTTAGAAAAAATAATTAGCCCATCTTAATTAAATCAAAGCCTCCTGCGACTCAGGTAGAAGCAGCAGACTTAGAGCTGGCCACTTGGGAAGCAGAAAATTCATAAAGAAAGGCTAAATCAAGGGTGATTGCTCCAGCACCAGACTGGCTTTCTCAGCACGGCATCTACCTAGATCCAGCTGTCTGTTCAGCTTCACAGCCACACGAGTCTCTTATGGGGCTAGCAGATGCCCCCAGAAGGAATCGTGGAAATCTTAGCACATCTCAGATGATGTTTAAAAACACATTTCCCTGGAAGGTGCTAATTGGTTTGTGGTTTTTATTTAAAAAAGTGTTTTGTGCTTAAATTAGATTGTCAAGCTTAGAATAATATTCTCTTCTTGGAAATTTCACCGTGTGTCACAGCACAGTGAAGGGTTTTTTTAAATTTTATATTTCAATTACAGTCGGCGTTCAATATTATATTGGTTTCAGGTGTACAGCATAGTGGTTACACATTTGTGTAATTTATGATGTGATACCCCAGTGAGTCTAGTGCCCACCTTGCACCATACATAGTTACTACAATATATTGACTAGATTCTGTACCCTGTACTGTACATCCCCAAAGAAATCCAAAACACTAATTTGAAAAGACATACGCATCACTGTGTTCACTGCAGCATTATTTCCAACAGCCAAGATAGGGGAGCAACTTAAGTTCCTTCAGTAGAAGATTGGTAAAGAAAATGGAGTTTTCTGTTTCAGCCCATCACTTCTCAGGCTCCTTTATAACACCCCTATTGCAGAGTTGAACGTATTCACAATGTGAGCCCTTGGTGTTTTTTGAATACTGCATAGGGAAACTGAGGCCTAGAGAGAGTTGCAGCCTGGAACCATGTCACCAAGAAAGTGAGTGCAGAATCCAGGGTATACCTTCAATATTCAAATGCCAAGGTTCTTGCAGGTGTGTGTGTATTTGCGCTAATCTGCAGTATTAGGTTATCGAATCTTTACATGTGTACACGGTTGGGTGGTCACCTTCCAGATGGTGATTCAGGGTGTTGTTTCTCCCCTACGACATTCCCTCCACACCTTCCCAGTCAACGCTCATCCATAGCGGGACCACTCCGCCAACTTATAACTCTATAGATTAGTTTTGCTCATTCTTTTTTTTTTTTAATCCTCACCCAAGGATATGTTTATTGATTTTGTAAAATGATTTTATTATTTTTTTTAGGGAGGGGGGAAGGGAGGGAGAAAGAGAGGGAGAGAAATATCCATATGTGGTTGCCTCTTGTACGCCCCCTACTGGGGACCTGGCCCTCCTTCCAGGCATGTGCCCTGACTGGGAATTGAACCAGCGACCTTTTGGTTTTCAGGCCGGTGCTCAATCCACTGAGCCACACCAGCCAGAGCTGATGTCTTTGAGAGAGAGAGAGAGAGAAACGTTGATGTGTGAGAGGAACATCAACTAGTTGCCTCCTGTACACGCCCTGACCAGGGATTGAACCTGCAACCCTTTGGTATGTGGGGCAGCACTCTAAACAACTACACCACCTGGCCAGGGCAGTTTTGCTTATTCTTGAACATGATAAATATAGACTCGCACTGTACAAATGTCTCCTGTGTACTGTGAATATAGCATAATTCATTAGTCCTCGTCCTCTTAGTAATCTTTAAACTCTAATACATAACTACAGCACCACTCACCTTTGAAAGCCTTCTGGTTGCTTCCCATGGCATGTACACTCTAACATCCCAAAAAGAAGGGACAGTGCTGTCCTCTTCCTTTGTCATATTACTGGGATTATCTCAGTGACTAGTTCAGAAGAACTTTAAAATACTTATTTGGTTAATGAATGCAATAACCAACTTATTTTAAAAATCCATTCATATTTAACAGGCATTTTCTAGGAATAGACTTCTTTCTCCATTTTTAAAGATTTTATAGATTGAGCATGGGCTGGGAACCAAAGTGTCCCAGGTTCGATTCCCAGCCAGGGTACATGCCTGGGTTGCAGGCCATAACTCCCAGCAATCCCACACTGAAGTTTCTCTGTCTCTCTCTCTCTCTCTGTCTCCCTCCCTTCCCTCTCTAAAAATAAATAAATAAAATCTTTAAAAAAAGGATTTTATACATTTATTTATTTTTAAATATTCTTAGAAAGATTTGTTATTTATTTATTTATTTTTAGAGAAAGGAGAAAGGAGGAAGAAAGAGAGGGAGGGAAACATCAATGTGTGGTTGCCTCTCAAACGCTCCCAACTGGGGACCTGGCCTGCAATCCAGGCATGCGCCATGACTGGGAATAGAACCAGTGACCCTTTGGTTTATATGCCAGCACTCAATCTACTGAGCGACACCAGTCAGGGCTCCATTTTTATGAAGATAAGGAAAGATGGGAAACATTCATGCTTTCATTTTTCTTTTTAAGGTGATTTATCTCATCAGAAATCCAAGAGATACTCTCGTGTCTGGTTACTTTTTCTGGAGTATCTCCAATTTTGTTAAGAAACCAGAGTCACTAAAACAATATTTCGAATGGTTCACCCAAGGAGATGGTGAGTGCATGTAAAATATGGTGGCTGGAGGATTGCCGGTGTCCTTCATCAGACCTCGTTCTGAATCCAGCCCGCTATCCCTACCTCTCCCTCACCTGTGGGGCAGAGGGTCTGTCCCCACTGGAACCCACAGATTCTTATCCCACAGACTCTCACAGAGCAACAGAGACCCAGCCAGCCTTTCAGCTGGTCAAATCGAGAACCAGCCTAGCTGTCCAATACAAATGCAGAGCACATCTGTGGCTTTCTGAAAGCCTGCTTTTCATTGGCCTCCTGGACAACACTATCCTGCCTTGCCACCATTTATTTATTTGCTCATTCATGTATTTATTTTTTATCTGATTTTTAGAAAGAGAGAGAAACATAGATTTGTTGTTCCACTTATTGATGCCTTCAGTCGTTGTTTCTTGTTTGTGTCCTGACCGGGGATCAAGCCCACAACCTTGGCATATCGAGACAACTCTCTAACCCACGAGCTATCAGCCACAGCACTGCCAGCATTCTTCAGCTGCATCCTCATGAAACTCTCTTTTTCCTCTTGTCCTATGTCTCAAAATGTATGCATTACCATCGGATCTTGATCCTTCTAATTGCGCAGTTTCTAGGCTTTCCCGATACTTGAAATTTTGCAACTTTTCCTGAAAATACAGGATGAGTCCCATAATTCTGCTGTGAGATGTCTCCCTAGCTTCAAACCTGTTTCTCTAAAGCCCATGGACACCTGCCCTGGAGGGAGCCACAGGTACCTCTAAAGCAGTGTGTTCAAGATGGAGCACATGGTCCCCAGGCCCCAAACTGCTCCTATTGCCTCTGTAGCTCATTAAATAAATAAAGCAACCCCTCGTCCAAGGGCTGGCATGAGTCATGCTTCCACACGCCGTCTTTTCCCCGTCCCGCTTCCCCATGCCCTCCCCTCTTCCCTTGACCTAAATCCCACAACCTTGGTGGTTGTCTTCATTCTGGTCTCTGCCACAATGTGTATGTGTTTAGAGAAATCTTCCTTTTCAGCACTATGTAAAATACCATCCCTCCCCGCCTCTGTAGCATTCTCTCTTTCTTCCCTTATCCCTCAGCGCAAACGAGCGTGTATTCTAATGGTGTCTCTATTCCCTGTGTCTCCCCACAAAAGTGTGAGTTCTTTGGGTTGTTCATTGTTGACCCTGGGCCCTAGAGTGGTGCTTGCCACATGGTCAGCAGCGAATACACCTTTGTTAAATAATGAGTATGTATTTGCCATCCCTCCCCCGGCTGCTTCATTAATTAGCGTCACTGTTACTTCCCACCCAGGTTAATCTGACAGACTCAGTGGTGCCCCCACCACATGCCCTCTGGACCTTCTAGGCTCTGTTGTGGCAATCTCCTGTGACATGGGGACAAGTCCACAGTTCCTGGACTGTTTGCCCGCAGTGTAAAGTTCACTGTTCAAAGCCCACAGGTGTGTTTCGTATTCACCTGGTCCTGGCTGAACACTTCTTCCCTAAGTTCTGCTTTGCTTCAGATTCCTCTTTCAGGGGGGCAAAAAGGCAACACCCCCCTCAACAATGCTGTATTTGATCTTGCCCTTCCATGGAGAAAGGAGTCTGGATGGGCCTTCCGCTCACACCGGTAAAAAGGAAGTACAGTCAATAGCCCTAAGAAGCTCACCTTTATTGGGACATATTGCTTCTCTGCGCCCTAAAACTCAGCTCACGGGTCACTCTTACCCAGTCAACACCAGAATCTTTTTTTAATATATTTTATTGATTATGCTATTACAGTTGTCCCATTTCCCCCTTCACTCCCCTCCACCCTGTACCCCCTCTCCCACCCACGTTCCCCCCCTTTAGTTCATGTCCATGTGTCATAGTGAGTTCTTTATCTTCTACATTTCCCGTACTATTCTTGCCCTCCCCCTATTTTCAACCTACATTCTATGCTACTTATTCTCTATACCTTTTCCCCCCTCTCTCCTCCCACACCCCCCTGCTGCTAGCTCTCCATGTGCCCTCCATTTCTGTGGCTCTGTTCCTGTTCTAGTTGTTTACTTAGTTTCTTTTGGTTTTGCTTTAGGTGTGGTTGTTAATAATTGTGAGTTTGCTGTCCTTTTACTATACATGTCTTTTCTTTATCTTCTTTTCTTAGATAAGTCCCTTTAACATTTCATAAAATAAGGGCTTGGTGATGATGAACTCCTTCAATTTGACCTTATCTGAAAAGCACTTTATCTGCCCTTCCATTCTAAATGAGAGCTTTGCTGGATAGAGCAATCTGGGATGTAGGTCCTTGTCTTTCATGACTTGGAATATTTCTTTCCAGCCCCTTCTTGCCTGTAAGGTCTCTTTAGAGAAATCAGCTGACAGTCTGATGGGAACTCCTTTGTAGGTTACTGTCCCCTTATCTCTTGCTGCTTCTAGGATTCTCTCCTTCGTTTTTACCTTGGCTAATGTAATTATGATGTGCCTTGGTGTGTTTCTGCTTGGGTCCAACTTCTTTGGGGCTCTCTGAGCTTCTTGGATTTCTTGGAAGACTGTTCCCTTTGCCAGATTGGGGAAGTTCTCCTTTATTATTTGTTCAAATAACTTTTCCACTTGTTGCTCCTCCCCTTCTGGTACCCCTATAATTCGGATGTTGGAACGTTTAAAGGTGTCCTGGATGCTCTTAAGCTTTTCCTCGATTTTTTGAATTCTTATTTCATCATGCTTTCCTACTTGGTTGATTCTATCTTCCTTCTGGTCCACTGTATTGTTTTGAGACTCAGATTCCTTCCTTTCACTATTGGCTCTCCTCCGCGTATCTTCCTGCATCTCTTTTATGGTAACCTGCATCCTTTCATCTAAATTGCACCCAAAGTCAACCAATTCCGTGAGCTTTCTGATCACCAGTGTTTTGAACTGTGCATCTGATAGATTGGCTATTTCTTGGTCGCTCAAAAGGATGAGTCCTGGGGGACTGATCTGTTCTGCTGGAAACATGTCTTATGTCTTTCCCTGTCTCTCCTATTTATTTATTTATTTATTTATTTATTTGTTTGTTTTCCGGCCTGGTCGCTCTTGTTACGGTGGGGGGCGGAGCCTTAGTTGTTCACCAGGGCTGGGCACCCCAGTCGCTAGATTGTGACGTTATATGTGGGGGCGGGGGCGGGATCGGGGACGGGTAGGAACAATGGCGGCAGTTCGGTTCTCCTGGGCTCAGACACTTCCCTGGGATCCTGGGCTGCGAGCTCTGCCCTGGTCCACAATTGCTGCCTCACTGGTTTCCCCAGCCGCTGCTTGCATACTCAGGGATCACCGTTACGTTCTTGCACCCGGGATGGCTGTGGCGCCGATTTTGCGCCAAATTTCCCCCGATCTCCGCGTGCCGCAGACCCGCGGCAGCCCCGCGCCCTCCAGGCTCGTCGTCCCCTACCAGTCTGGATGTACGGGTCTACTTCAACTTCTTGGCTGTCTGACTTCCATTCAGATAAATCCTCTGACAGTTCTGAGTGATATTATATTTGTAAATTATTGTTGTTCTATTCTTGGTTGTGCTCGGAGGTACGGTGCGTCCACCTATTCCTCCATCTTGCCGCACCAGAATCTTTATTGTTATCACCTAATTCCAATATCCTGAGTTCTCTACAGCACTGTAGAAGGTGATCCAAGCCTCTGGGAATTTTAGGCCCAGGAAGCAGTGTCCTTAGACCCAGGTAGCAGGGGAGCCTGCTCCAGACCCTGGGGCTTCACTTGAGCCCTGGACCATACACAGTAACAAAGCCCGAGAGGCCCTCCTGTTCCAAATGCGTTTCCTGTCGGGCTCCTGGAGCTCGCGACTCTTGCATCACCCATGCTCTGGGAACCCTGAGTCCCAGAATTCCCTGTGCAAAAGACCCCACGCTACTTTCTACACCGAGCACGCTTTGATGGTCTGTGTGGTCCTCTGTCAGGTGCCCCCTGCCCCTCAAGGCAGACATACCAGCAGCACCGCTGGGTTAGCTTTGGCCAAGGGGAGGATCAAAAGGAAAGGGATGAACTATAATTGCTGTTTGTAAGCATCACTGAAGTCGTTCGTTGTTTTGGTCAAATGCTTCTCCCAACATTTTGTAAGTGCAGAGTTAAAAATTAAATGAGGTGTTTTGAGCTAAGGCTATTGAGAATAATGTATTTCTGTTACACGGGTGCATGATTTTCTTTCCGTTGTATAAATCAGAGTGTAGAACTGCTGAGGCATAGTGAATATGAATTTTCTACTTTAAAAGACAGTGAACTGTTTTCTAGAGTGATTGTATCAATTTGTATTCTGACGATGGAGGCATTACTGTAAGCATTGATCACTAAAAATGTCCCATCAATAGCATAGGAGTGCACCTGTTACATCATGTCTTTGGTGACACTTGTTATTGTTGGTATTTTTTATGATTTTTATTATGATAATTATACAGAATAATTAGGGGAGAAATGGCATGTATTACTTTGGTTATTTCTTCATTTGTAGGAATAGTCCTTTGTTTACCCTCCCCCTTACCTAAAGCTTTTCAGAGGTCTTAAATGATCTTTTATGATTACTTAAATGAAAAGCTCAAACTCTTTTTATAGACATATTTCATTTCTTCTTGATTAATGACATCTTTAAATTACATTTTCCAGTTGTTTTATGCCTGATTTAGAGGAATGTAAATGATTTTGAATGTTGATTGGTGATTCGGCAATCTGAAAGAACTCTCTTCTTTTTTTATAAAAAAAAGATTTTATTTATTTATTTTAAGAGAGAGGGGAATGGAGTAAGAAAGAGAGGGAGAGTAACATCAATGTGTGGCTGCATCTCATCTGCCCTACTGGACGCCAGGCCCACAACCCAGGCATGTGCTCTGACTGGGAATCAAACCGGTGACACTTTGGTTCTCAGGCAGGGACTCAATCAACTGATCCACATCAGCCAGGGCTGAATAAACTCTCTTCTTAATCCTAATTGTTTCCCTGTAGGTTCTCTTTGATTCTCTAGGAAGTGCAAATATAACCTTCCAGTAATGACTATAATCTTAATTTCTTTTTTTTTTTTGTTTTTGAGAGAGAGAGTGAGGGAGGGAGAAAGAGAGGGAGAGAAACTTCAATGTGTGAGAGTTATATTGATCAGTTGCTTCACACAGGCCCCCAAATGGGGACCTGGCCCAAAGTCCAGGCATGTACCCTGACTGGGAATCGAACCAGCAATCTTTTGGTTCACAGGCCAGCACTCAGTCCACTGAGCCACACAAGCCAAGGCCCTCTTCAATTTTTGTTTTTGAAGTTTGAGAAGGATGGACATCAATGCTTCCTTTAATATTTTACAGAGTTGACCAGGAAACCATCTGTTCCTGGGCTTTCCTTTGTAGGGAGATTCGGCTTATTGATGCAGTCTCCTTACTTCTCATTGGGCTATTCAGATTTTCTGTTTTTTCGTGACTCAGTTTTGGCAGGTTGCATGATACATTTCTAGGAATTTACCCATTTCCTCTAAGTTACCCAATTATTTGGTGTGTGGTTGTCCGTGACAGTCCCTTACAGTCCTTCATGTTTACGTGGCATTGGCTACAATGTCCCCTCTTTCATTTATCTGAGTCTGCTCTGGTCTTCTCTTAGTCTAGCTAAAGGTTTGTCAGTTTTGTTTATCTTTAAAAAAAAACTGCTCTCATTTTTGTTAATCTGTTCTAGTGTTTTCTATTTTTTTCTTGTCTGGTCTTTGTTGTTTTCTTCTTGCTGCATAAAAGTGGCTTGTCTCTTTGACATCTTTCTTTTTCTTCATGCAGGAATTTATCACTCTAAACTCCACTCCTCGAGCTGCTTATGCTTCTTCTTATACATTTTGGTATGTCATGCTTCCTTTTTCGTTTTACAATTTTTTTTCAAGATTTAAAATTTTTTCCCTTTTATTTCTTGACCCTCTGGATCCTTTCTCCTGGATCCACTTTATTTGTTCATAAAGTTTAACGGAAACTAGTTCTCTTGTGACAAAAATGGTAAATTCCCTCAGCATTTTGCCTGACAATGCCTTTTCTTTGTGCTCATTTTCGAGTGACAGGTTCACTGAGTAGAATTCCCCACTACCCTTTGTGGTCAAGAAGGGCTCTGAGTAAAGATTCAGGCAAAACCAAAAAAAAAGGACTTGGGCATGGTAGACAGCCATTAAAAACTAAACAATAGTTCTGATAAGGAGGGTGGAATGGGAAGACTTTCCTCCCATGGAGATGTGCACGGGTGCTCAACCTGTTGGCGTCTCTGGGCTACAATGAAAGAAGAAGAGTCATCTTGGGCCACACCTCAAATACACTGCAGCATGTAATCACCAAAAAAGCTCATGTTTTAGTACATTTACAGTTTTGTGTTGGGCCACATTCACAGCCATCCTGGGCCCCAAGTGGCCCATGGGCCACAGGTCCGACTCCTGTATAGGGAAGGACAATTTTCAAGAAGGCACACGTGAGGATTTCCCTCACAGATGAAATCTCAGGTTGAAGAATGAAACCCAGCCTCTCAAAGAATTATTATCAATAAATCTTCCCCTTGTCTCTAGGAAAGCTCAGTGCGAGGATGGGGGTGTGAGGGGGGTTTCAGCCAGCAAAGTCACCCAGGGGCCTCCATAGATGGAAATAAATAGTCTGAAAGGGAGGCCAATTCCCTCTAGCAGGGAACGCCCAGAGCCCTTCTTGGACACGGCTTTTATTAGGATTGGAATGAGTGGGGACACAGCACACGTGCACAGCTTACCCATCAATGTCCAATAGGCTATAGTCATAAAAACTAACCGTCTCTAGATAACAATTGAAGAAACACAGAAATCTTTTCAGGTTGGGTTCTAGGGCATGCAGGCACCAGATGGATGTAAAGGCGTATATCACAAAGTAGGGAGTTTCACTCAAGCATCTGGATTACACTAACAGGCTTATCACTGAGCAGAGTGGGTTTCAGAGGACAAACATGTACATTTCAGATCTGACTCCCACGGGGCCCTCAGTGTTAGAATCCAGTCATGCCTGCCACCTGCGTTATGACCTGGTTTCCAGGGAGATTTACCAGCCCCTCTCAGAGCTTGCTCTCTCGGGGCTACAGTCTCCAAAACCACACCGAGTGGTCCCCAACAAGGGGAGAATTGGAAAGAAAATCATAAGCCACAGGAAAGAGAGATCATTTCCAAAGGAACAATAACTGCCATGGCAACAGTGAAAGCAAGAAGACACAAGAATATCCAGGGCACTGAGAGTTACCCATCAACCCAACATTCTGAACACCGCACAGAGTTGGGGCAGCCAGAATGCCACTCCTCCGGCCACATGGCTCTCTGGGGAGGTCTCCTCAGGAGGCCCTGGTAACTGGGGGCAGAGCCTGCTCTGCATGAGCCCTGCTCACACAAGGTAAATGCCTGATGATGGGTAATAACTCTCCACCTCCACACTCACCCCCTCACTCAGCAAATACTTGTAAATGGGCCAGACATCACGTGAGCAAGTGTGCCCGCAAGAATGAACCTACCAGAGGGTGCCTGCCTTCACACAGCCCGTCACGCACCCACTCTCTCTGCCTCCCCACCTGCAGAGGCATTTGGGTCGTGGTTCGGCCACGTTCGAGGCTGCGTGCAGTGGCTTATCCTCATTGGATGGCAACTGGTTCTAAAACTTCCAGGGGCAGGACGCACTCGGTGCTACTGATAGCTGGGAGGGGACCGAGGAACAGGAAGGGACTGGGGAGAAGCCAAGTTGGGTGCCAGAGATGTGTCCAACTGCCTGGCAACCCAACCTGATGGATGGAAGGAAAAAGAAATCATGAAATCAGTCTGTGTTATGATTCTGACAGGCCAAGGGCTGGACTGACCGCTCATGGGCAGGAAGCACTGTCAGATGAAGTTCAAGCCAGTAAGAGTGACTGAGCCACTGAAGGAAGACCTTGGCCTATTAGCGGGATCTTGGGGAAAAGAGGAGAAACCACCCACACAGGCTTGTGCTTCTGTCTGACAAAGGTCACTGCCCTATGGGCACTGCTGTCCAATCCTCTGTGCTTTCCACATGAATTCCGTTTTCACCCAGAAGTCTTTTGTGACTGGCTTAACAACATCAGGGGCACATGTTCACACCTTCCTGGAGTTATACTTTCAAGCCACAAAATGAACTTTTATTGTTGTCATGGCCACAGTTGTGCTTTTTGTTGTTGTTATAGCATGTCGGCTCATGGAATAGAAAAAAAATTTAAGGCCCTGTCACTCTAAGAGGAAGGTCTATGATTCAAAGCAAAGTATCATTATTATTAAAATCCATTTTTAATAATAATATTAATTTTCTAGTACCATGTGCCAAGTTCTAATTATTGAAATAACATATAAGAAGATCTTGGACAACTACAAGATCAAGTTGAATGGAAGTCTGACAAATGTGGAATTGAAGAAACCACATCCATCCAGACTAGTAGGAGAGGCACAGGTGCAGAATGGGCTGGCCCCACATCCACGTGGATAAAATCTCAGGAGAGGTATTTCAGGAGTGAGAAGTCCCAGACCCACAGTGGGCCCCCCAGCCCAGGATTCCAGTGCCCACTTCTGACTGCGAAAACCAGTGGGGACTGAGTCGGTGGAGGAGGCTGAGGGAACCCGAAACAGCTCCTCTTGGGGACCCACACGTGACCCACCTACTCAAACCCACTCCCTCTGAGCTCCAGAGCTGGCAGCTTGAAGGGCACTGGTGGCACACAGGGAGAGACCGAAGTGTCTGGCATCAGGATGAGCAGAGGCCATTGTCCCATTGCTAAACCCTCCCCCGACAGAGCCAGCAAGCTGGAGGCATATCCTAGCCAGGTTATCAACCTGGCTAACACTGCATGACCCACATTGGAGATCCACAGAGGCTCTACCCCACCCAACTTACAGGCCCAGCCAAGCTGCTTTTCTGTAAGAATGACTGGTCTTGGTTCCTAAATCCTATCGAACAAGCAATAACTGACTTCAGTGAGCCCTAATGGCAGCCAGATTGGGGTCACAGCTTGGCTTCACCTGGGAATCTCCAAGCCCAGCACAAGTGACAGTCATCACAGATTGTTTTATAGCTCAGGCAGGGTGGGCCCAGGCAAAACACAGGTGGGGGCTGACCTTGGCCTGCACCACCCAGGGAACCCCAGGGCCAACGCACCCAGTGGACAGCCACAGACCATGTTGGAGCACCACCACCCTGCCCCTGCACAACTGATCCTCCACAGAGGGTGAACTTTGGTGGTCAGTGGTCACAGCTTGCAGCTGACTGACCTGAGTAAATCCCTCCCATTGACCTGCCAACAGCAACCAAGACACAACAACAAGAGGAGAGTGTACTCAGCCCACACAAAGGGCACAGCTCAACTACCCAGGTTGGGTGATAGGGGAGGCCTTGCCACTGGACCCTACAGGACACCTACTACATTAGGACACACTACCAAGACACAGAGTCAAAGCAGCTCTATCTAATACATAGAAACAAATACAAGGAGGCTGCCAAAATGAGGAGACAAAGAAACATGGCCTAAAAGAAAGAACAGATCAAAAATCTAGAAAAAGAACTAAAAGAAATGGAGATAACAGTCAGTCTAGCAGATTGCAAAACACTGTTTATAAAGATTCTCAAGAAACTTAGTGAGGACCTCAACAGCATAAAGAAGACCCAGTCAGAAACGAAGGATACACTAATTAAAATAAAGGACAATTTACAGGGAAACAACAGGAAAGTGGATGAAGCCGAGAATCAAATCAATGATTGGGAACATAAGGAAGCAAAAATCAACCATGCAGACCAACAAGGAAAAAAAAGAATCCAAAAAACTGAGGACAGTGTAAGCAGCCCCTGGGACAACTTGAAGAGGTCCAACATTCACCTCATAGGGGTGTCAGAAGGAGAAGAGAAAGAGCAAGAAATTGGAAATCTATGTGAAAAGATAGTGAAAGAAAGCTTCTCTAAGTTGGTGAAGGGGATAGACATGCAAGTCCAGGAAGCACAGAAAGTCCCAACCAAGATAGATGCAAAGAGGCCCACTTCAAGACACATCATTAATTAAAAGACCAAAGTTTAAAGATAAAGAGAGATTCTTAAAAGCAGCAAGAGAAAAGAAGTTAGTTACTGGAAGGTTGCCAGCTGTGAGGAGGGAGGGGAAGAATGAGGGAAGAGGTGAGAGGAATAAGAGGAACAAATAGGTAGTTACAGAACACCCATGGGGATGTAAAGTACAGTGTAGGAAATGGAGAAGCCAAAGAAATTACATGCACAACCCATGGACATGAACAATAGTGGAGTGATTGCCTGAGGGAGTGGGGAGCACTGGGCAGAGGGAGGCAGAGGAGGAACAATTGGCCAATTTTAATAACATAATCAATAAAATATAATTTTAAGAAAAGGCCTTGTAAATCTCTATGTGGTATTCAAATGTTACTTATGACAAACCGCATTACTTGATGGGACATTCAGGATTTGAAATCAATCCCTTACGTCTTTGTCAAGCCCTCCCTAAACCTCTTCTTGCTCATTCCTCATCACAATTGTCCAGAAGACTTTCTAAAGGTCTTGTTAGAAAACCTATGTCCTGTATCTTCCCAAGAAGGTGTTCTGAATTCAGTTACACTGGGACATTCATGTTGACTGCGTCTTTCACATAATTGTGCTCTTTCTTTATTACCTTCTTCCCCTTCTTCCTCCTGGTGGCATCCAACTCAACACTTCTCCTTTCTGTGCTTTTCCTCCCTCCCTCTCCCTCCTTCTGCTCCTCATCCTGCCATTTCTCCTTCTCATCGCCTTTCCTATGTCCTTTCCCTTTCCTGTCCTCTCTTTGGCCTTTTCTTCTTCTAGGACACAAGAAACATGATACAGAAGATTTACCAGTAACTGGGCAAGACATTAGAACCAGGGGAAATGAACTTAGTCCTCAAGAATAGCTCCTTCCAGGTCATGAAGGAAAACAAGATGTCCAATTACATCCTGCCCAACGGGCTTTTAGATGGGAAGAATGGATCACTTATGCAAAGAGGTAAGTGAAAATGGCCCTCCTTCAGAGCACATTGGAGTGTTCAAAGGGCATCCTTGTGCATGCAGCAGGGCACCAACTAGGGAGTGTTTGAACTTCTCAACTTTAACTGCTCATCCCCCAGAGAACTCACATGATCTTTTTTTTTTTTAAAGATTGTATTAATTTATTTTTCAACAGAGGGGAAGGGAGGGAGAAAGGGAGGGAGAGAAACATCCGTGTGTGGTTGCCTCTCATGTGCCCCCTACTGGACACCTGACCCTCAACCCATACGTGTGCCCTGACTGGGGATCTAACCGCCAATTCTTGTTGGCAGCCCAGTGCTCAATCCACTGAGCTACACCGGGCAGGGCGCCTCATCTACTCTCATCAGGGGATCTCTTTTTCAAGTACTGATATGGCCTGTAGACACTTGGATGAAGTTGATTAGACCTGGAATGGTCATCTGACTTTGCAGGACATTCAGATTCTCTCTCCTCTGATTTTGGCATGGGGGTGTCTGCTCTTCGAGCAGTGTCCAGGCGAATTCGCCGTGCCTGCTGACCTGCCCACTGGGACTGACCAGGGAAGTGAGGACAGGCATGGAGATGGTCTTGCTGGTGCTGCCCCATTGTTGAGTTAGCACAAGGTACTAGCCTGCACGAAGAACTGTATAAACAATGACTCAGCTGGAAAGAACGAGAGAGGGGAGACCTTCTGCTGAGCCGTGAGCCTGCGTTACTGTCAGACACTGTGGTGAATAATTAATCACGTTCGTACCTCTGGGCTGAAGATGAATGAAGAGTGTCCACTGCCTGGGATAGGAGGAGCCTGTTTTCCCAGAGTCCTGCCATTCAAGACCATCCAGGATGATCCATGGGAGGAAGAATATAAATGATTCCAAAGACCACACATCAGTGGGGGCTGCCCCTCAGGGCAGATGAGTGGGATGCGGGCCCCCATCCCAGTGGGCCAGAAGGTCAGAGCATCAAGACAAAGAGGCGAATTCTCAATCCTCAAAATCTGGGAGTGAACCAGCTGGTGTGGCTCAGTGGATTGAGTGCTGGCATGCAAACTGAAAGGTCATTGGTTCGATTCCCAGTCATGGCACATGCCTGGGTTGCACACCAGGTCGGGCTCCAGCTGGGGGCATGTGAGAAGCAACCAAGGGCAACTGATGTATCTCTCGAACACGGATGTTTCTCTCCCTCTCTTCCCCCCTCCCTTCCCTTCCCTCTAAAAACAAATAAATAACATCTTTTAAAAAAAAATCTGCAGGGTTACTAGACTTATCATGATCACACCATGATATATATAAATGTCTTGAACCTGAAACAAATATTGTATGCCAACTACACTTAAATTTCTTTTAATTTAATGAACTCTGACCTGCTACATTCAGATGGGCTTGGGACCCGTGGTCCCTTTCTTCTTTCTGATTTCTCCCTTTTGGAGTGGGACTGTCTACCCAATGCCTTTCACACCGTTGCATTCTGGAAGAAGACAACTTGTCTGATTCCTTGTGTTCGCCCGCACAGAAACATCCTCTCAGCTGACCTTTCATACGGGGCAGCCATGTTGAATTTTTGGAGATTCTGGCTCCTCGAGAGCTGGGTGTGGCCCATGAAAGTCAGGTGTGTTGTGGAGGACACACGAGCATAGGAAATCGATTATGATACAAATTGTTGTAACAATGCAGCCGATGAGCCCAAGAGGGACAGCAGATGTTTATAAGGTAGCAATTATTATTTAGACATTCTGCTAAATTATTTCTATGCCCACAAGTGTATGATATCTATTACTGGTTTCTATATAAGTATATAATGTTCTGTTTTATGTTAATTTCACTGATTTATTAATGTAGGTAATATATTAATATACTGCCTACGTATTCATTTATATCACACGTAAAATAGTAATATCATCATAAATTGAGGGGGTGGCTTCTGGTGTCAAAATCTGTCGCTTCGAATCCCCGTCTATTGCTTTCTACCTGTACAGCCTCTCATGGTCTCGCCTTCCTCATCCGTAACACGGAGGTGATCATAGCACATCCCTGACTCTTTTCATCATCCTTGCCACAAATATTTGAGTGCACGCTATGTGCCTATGACTCGGAAGTACTAAGCCTTTGGCGATTCAAAAAGAAAAGTTTATGACTTTCTAAAATACACATTAGAGATACACACCATACACACAGACAGACACACACACATAGGAAAAACATGGCATGTCACACGGGATAAGTGTTATGAAGCGAAATACGAAGGAGGGACAGGGGATCGATCGTCATTTCTGAATGGGGTTGTGGGCGGAAGAGAACCTCACTGAGAAAACTGAACTGGAGTGAAGAGTTGAAAGAGGCTGGCGGGCAAGACGGTGCCACCCCTGGGCGAGCGGCATCCCAGGCAGCAGGAATGAGAACTGCAAGCAGTCTGCAGAGGGAGGGGGGCCTAGCACGTCCAGGGCAGGATCAGAAGACTCAGCTCAAGGGAGGTGAGTGAGCAAGTGGGCGGTCATACGAGGCAAAGTCAGAGACGTGAGAGGGGACCGAGTCCCCTGCAGCTCTGTGGAAGCCACAGCCCTCTCCCCAAGTGACCCCAGAAGTCCTTGGAGAGTCTGAGCAGGAAGGGACAAGAGCTGATACCACGTCATCTTGTTTCTCAAGGAATCAAGACACCGCCGTGCTGAGACTAACTCAGAAAGGAGAAAGATCCAAAACAGAGAGACTGATTAGAAATCTAATACCCTAACGCAGGGCGAGAGAGGACATTGGCCGGGGCCACGGTGGTAGTAACAGAGGTGGTGAGACAGGGCCAGATTCTAGATGCCTCGGAACAGAGAGCTGCGCTGTCGTTGGTGAAGGGGATGTGTGCAGCGTAGGCTGGGAGAGAGGAGAATATAGGGAATCATTTCCACACAGGGGGGCATGGGAATGCACCACACAGGTATGGCTGCAGGCAGGGGAAGGCCCGCCAGTGGCCCATCGGGTATTCTGTGACATTAGCTACAGAGAGGTGCTGGGGACTCGAGACCTGCCCCTCCTTCTGACCTGAGTCTCATTTTATGTTTGTCAGGCACTACTGGGGACTGGAAAAAGCACTTCACCGTGGCCCAAGCTGAAGTCTTTGACAAAATATTCCAGGAGAAGATGGCAGGCCTTCCTGGAGAGCTGTTCCCATGGGAAGGATGTTGAAAGACTTCTACGTCTCCTAAAGATAAATATCTGTTCTCCTGCTGTGAATGGCCGGCCGTGATTGCATAAAAGCTGTTATTTCACCCAGGAGCCTTGAGTGATCAGATCTGTGACCTTTGACAATTTGATTGTTAAAAATTACCAGGACATCTCTAGTTCATGGTGTGGCATCCAAGCTCTTAAAAAACATTGAGTACATTCGGAATGATGCAAAATAATATGAATATTACCAAAGCTATGCCAAAAAATTATTTATAAAAATGAGAAATAAAATGACAAAAAAAGGCAGCTAAGGTTCCTTTTCTTTCCATTGCCTGTATCCAACTTTTTATTACCTTTGATTAATGCAACCTTGCAGCGTACAGTTCCCAGCCTCTCATTATTCTCTTACTGTGTAGAATTTGACCGTCAACAATATATAGCATTCATGGAGGCTTTGAAAACGTAGATAAATGGCATACTGTATAATACCTTCACCAACTAACATTTTTTCTCTGTATTTTATTTGTGGTTTGCATCCATGTAGATGATATAACTAGTTCAGTGTTTAGTACTGAGACCTATTTTAGTGCCCCATGCTCCTGTGGGTGCATCTGGGTTCCTTCCCCATCCATTTTTCCCTGTTTATAACACCGCTTTGGCTTAACACACGGGCCATCCTGGAAAATGTTTGAGAGACTAATGGAAAAAGGAAATAAGATCTGTACCATGATGGAACATAATCGAGCCTTAAAGAAGGAAAATCTGTCATTTGCAGCAACATGGATGAAACTGGAGGACAACACGCTAAGTGAGATGAGCCAGAGAGACGGACAAATAGAGCATAGTTTCACTTGGACAAGGAATCTAAAATAGGGCAATTCCTCGACAGAGAGGTGGCTGCCAAGGGCTGGGGGAGGGGTAATGGAGGTTGCTGTGCTGTGGGTACAAAGTTCTAGCCTCACGAGATGCGTAAACTCTAGAGACCAGCTGTAGAATTGCACCCTCAGGTAACGATACTGTATTGTCTGTCCGTCTACCATTCGTTAAGACAGTAGGTCTCATATTAAGTGTTTGTGCTCACATGGAATATTTCACTGGGTGATTGTACCAACATTTACGTTATTCATTACATGGTGGATGGGCGATCGGAAACTTTCTGATTTGGACCAGAATCCTTCACGAGCTTTTGAACGTGTCTTTCTGTACCTCTCTCGGTGAACATTCCCGTCGGGTTTATGCTCACGACTGGAACTGCGGGCTCAAAAGACGTGTGTGCACCGGGTTGTTCCCATTTAAATTCCCGCAAGACGTGGTTCCACATCCTTGCCAAATTAGCATTCTCTAGCTGTTTGGTTTTAGCTTTAAATTACACACACAGAAACAAATATAATTGTAGCTCGGTATCTTTTCTCCCACTTGAAAGTGGAGCGTCTCTCCCATCCACCCAAGGTCCCCGGCTCTGGAGCAGTGGTATGTTGATGCCCCCTGGTGGTCGGGAGGCATTACGACAGGGATGTGGACACCCGGTCTCTCCCAGTCCTGTGGGTGCTCCTGAATGAACCACATCTTTGATCTGACCCAGGTGTATCTTTTACAGTTTGCTTACAATAATGACAATTTCAAAATTCCACTAGTTAAGGGTTATTTTCTGCTAGGCATTTTATTTAGCAGAATTTCAAGTACAGAGTCAAACAATGGTTTTAAGGTTTTTTACAAACAAAATTATGGGCACATACTGTGTTCATTTACCAGAAAAAAAACGACGACCATTTTTGAAGATTTCACTTATTTATTTTTAGAGAGGGGAAGTGAGGGAGAAACAGAGGGAAAGAAACCAATGTGTGGTTGCTTCTTACACGTCCCCTAACAGGGACGTAGCACACAACCCAGGCATGTTCTCTGATGGAGAATTGAACCGGCGACCCTTTGGTTCACAGGCCCACAGTCAATCCACTGAGCCACACAACCTGGGGCCCATTTTTAAAAATCTTTCTTTTTATGGCACTTCATTCTTTTCTTCGTGTGTGTGTGTGTGTGTGTGTGTGTGTGTATTCTGCAAAGGGACAGCCAGATACAGCAATTTCGAGTTTTCTTTTCACACACTCAAGTCTTGGTGTAGTCTTAACGATGGCAGTGCTGTATCTAGTGAGTCCACCTGCTCCTCGGCAGAGAGTAGACTGAGGTTTGCACGTTGGAATGAACCCCAGAGACCCTGCTGAACCGGCCAGGAGCATAAGAATGTTGAAACTCCAGGGGACAAAGCTAAGGCCCGTGGGATCTGAGATGAAGCCAGTGGCTTACCCCTGAAGGCCCCCTTGTGCTGTGCATTCTCTAGGGAAGGACCTGGCAGACTTGGGGCTTGGAGATGCCAAGTAATACGTCTAGTGGGAAAGGGGGCCCCTGTTAGCAGACTCCAGGCGAGGTGTCCAACACCCACCTTTGCCCCTCTCCAGGCTGAGAAGCCAGCACACCTGGGCTTCAGACAGGGATTCTGTCTAATTCAAAGAGCTCCACACCCTCTGCACCACTCAAAGACTCCACTCGTCACTGCTGGATAATGGGTGTCACCTCTTCTGATTTCTCCAGCTCTCATCTTTGAATCCTAGAAACAGGTCCATAGAAACCAAGCTAGAAACTGGTGGTCTGCCTGCCTCCCCGCTCCAGCCCCTGGACATGGCTGCCTTCTCATTGTCTGCACCACGCTCATTCATCCCAGAGAATGGGACATCCAACATCTCTGGGTGCCGATACATCCCATTCTGTTTCCTGGCTATTTCTGGTGACTCAGACCAGTTGAATGCAGAGACCCTTCTGGTCCCTTCTGCCCCCTCACTCCTGGGCTCTCCGGATTGATTTCCGTTTGGCTTCCTTCTCCCACCTCGGATCGCCTAAGCAGGCTAGGACCCTTCTACCCACACCACTGCCGTCTCCACCCCAAGCACCCGGGACTGAGGGGGTTCCAGGCATTGTTGTTGGGGATGGTCAGGGCACAGGCTGGGCTTGTGAGGAGAGTTGGGGTAGGCCCTCCTAGGAGACGGTAGAGCCCCGGGCTCAGAAAGAGGGTGGAGGGTGGGGTGGGGGTGCTGGGGAAGGTGGTGGAATGGAACTGAGAGGACGAGCAAGGAAGGTGTCCTGTTCCCCTTGATCCGGTCCCTGTCTGCTCGGTCAGGCCGGACTTCCGCAAACTCCGTCTCCATTCTTCAGAACATTAATCTGGTTTCCATTCCCGCCTGGTCCCTGGGTATCTGCAGCACGTCCCAAGCACTGCCCTCCCTCCCCCTTCTCTGCCAGGGTGTGAATCCCAGACTTATCTCCTCTCTCCTGCCTCCAGGGACACCCCCACCTCCTGCACCCCGGCCTAGCCTTCCTCAGCAGGGATAGATGGGAAATTCTTAGATTTCTTCCTGCCCATAATACGATGTCAGAGTCTCAATGAAGTTATGTATTCGGTGGTGTGTGCGTGTGCGTGTGCGCCAAACCCTACCCGGGTCTCTCAGATGAACTGGAGGGGATTTCATTACATCCTGGCACTCTACCTGCACCCCCACCCCCCAGCAGTCCCCGCCAGGAGTGGCTCCCCCCACCGCCACCAATCTGATCTAATATTCTCTGATCCCCCGAGGCTGGCCAGGCCTAAAGAAGGGGAGCATTTGCTGTGGGGGTCCAGGACAGGGTCAGAGAACCAGCTGGGGGAGACGCAGGGGCCAGGGCGGCCACAAGGGGGCAGCAGAGGACACAACGGAGCAGAGAGAAGGGGTGAGCGGTGCCCCCACCCTGCTGACCTGGGGGTACCCAAGGAGGAGGCAAACTGGCAGTTTCTGCAGGAAACAGTGTTTACAAGATAACCATGGGCTTTATTAATTTTCAAATGATAAATTCCCGCAAAAAATGCCATTTTAAGTTATGAGATTTAGAATAATTGGAGTCGGGTCCCTGCCTCAAAAGAACAGAATCAACTGATAATAAAACCCGTCAACTGGATCCTATAAACAGGACACACTGTGAAACACCTTCCAAAACGTCAGGCGGTCACAAAGCACCAGAACCGCACCCACGTGCATCTGCACCTGAGGCCATGGCGATGAAAATAAAGACGCTTAGGAGAGAACCTTTGTAAAATCCAAAGGAAGAAATAAACGCTAGACTTTGATTGGGTTTTAAATTTTTAAATTTTTTAATTTGCTTGCTTTTGCACACAGGGGAAGGGAGGGAGAACGAGAGAGAGAAACATCAGTGCACACGAGGAACGTGCACCAGCTGCCTCTCGCACGTCTCCAGGTGGGTGCTGGCCCTCCGTCCAGGCATGGGTCCTCACTGGGGATCCGACGGGACACCTCTCGGTTGGAAGGCAGGATTTCAGGCCACAGAGCCATGCCAGCTGGGGTTAAATGATATACTTAGATTGTAAATCTCAATCCTGTATAAAGGTGTCAGTTATCCACTCCCCCCCCCCAAAAAATTTATGGATTAAATACGATTCAAGTTAAATGACCGACGAGGATGGTCTGCTCCCTTGGAGAGTTCACGGGCAGCCCCACCAAAGCTGAACATCCACCCCCCGCAGCAATGCTGCTCCTGGACCCTAAAACCCCTAGATATATCAAGTGCACCCTGAATGCTGAGGTGGGGGCTTCAGAACAGCGCAGTGAACACGGCGCATAAGACTTCCAAAGTAGATAACAGTGCATTAACGTAACAGAAGAGTAACCCACCACCAAGACCGGGAGGCCCAGCTTCCCCCACCCGCCTGGGCCCACGCGCTAGAAAAGCCACCCCACTGGCGTCTGGTCCCGCGGGATCTGCACGAGGTCGCTGGCATAGATGCCCCTACAGCTCCAGCACCCTCCCGGGGCCCAAATCCTCCCCATCCGCAGAGTCCTCACCTGGGTTCCCAGGTCGGGTCCCTCCGACAGGTCTCACAGGGACAGCAGATCTGTGAGGTCAAGGTGGGACCAGAAATCATCGACGTTAGAGTCCTCAGCCCAGATGGAGGCTGCGGCTGGAGATGCAGTCGGAGCCAAAGCCGGAGGTGGAGTTGGACCTGGAGCCGGAGCAGGACCCAGAGCCGGTGCAGCCGGGGCCGGATTCTGGGCGTCCTGAGCGGGATCTTGCCAGGCCTGCACGTGGCTGGAGGCGCTGGGCTCTGCTGATGCGATGCCTCCCAAGGGGTTGTCGAAACCTGCGCCCCCAGGAAGCACAGAACCCCCGGAAAGCATGGGATCCTCGGAAAACAAAAGCTCCCAAGGGAATTCAATGTTCTGGAATAACCCAGGATCCCAAGGCAATTCAAGCTCATCCGCGATCCC